AGGGCTAGCCTCCCACTAGTTCGAATTAAGGGTCTACACACCCCTTAATTCGAACTAGTAAGTTCGAACTAGGCTTAGTCCTCGTAGAATGAGGTTTACCTAGTTCGAACTAAGTGCTCCATTAGTTCGAATTAGTTTCGAACTAACGGAGCGCTAGTGTAGCGCCTATCAAAGTTAATTCGAACTAACGTCCATTAGTTCGAATTAAACTTTGTAGTGTAGCCATACCCTGAGAGAGCACTCTGGAGGCATGAGACCAGTTCCAGCTAACCCCTCTTCATCCTCAGGCTCAGATTTGGCAGCCTTCTCCTTGGTGTCTGCTGTTTCAAGAGGGAGTAGGCAAAGGCAGAATATCTGCTAGTCCCCATCTCCTAGCTCACTCTGAATTAGTTGGACTAGGGAGGGGCTTGGCCCACTCTGCAAGGCACCCTGTTAAAGATACAGTGATGGGGATTATTTTGAGTAATATTTTAGTATTATGTAGATAGCCAAAAATTGTGTGTGTGTGTGTGTGTGTGTGTGTGTGATCTGATCATGTAACATTCCCTAGTGCACTTTAATTTAATGCTGTGCTAAGGGCATTATATTAAAGCACATGCGGTAACCACTAGTGTGCACCAACAGTGTATACAAGGCCAATTAATGAGCAATAGCGTGCTTTAGAAATCCCACTTCCCTGGTCCATATAACTGCTCTGTGTAGATAACCCTTAGATACAATTAACCATTCTGATATTTATTGCATAAACACACATTCTTTTTTAATAGGGTATTTTATTGGTGTTTTATCAGTTAAAACTGGAAGCCCTGCACCGTGGTGGAGCGTGCTCCACCCTGGGCTTCAGGGTAAGCTGGGGCTGAGCAGAACATTGGTACAGGTACCAGTTAAGAACTGCTGGGGCATCTAGCACCATAACTGAGAACAGCGGGATGCTTCCCTTGTGCTCACAGTGCTTCTTGTGCTGGTGCCTGGGCAGCATGAGAAGAAGGACACAGCCTGACCTGCTCAAATACACAGGCATGGAGAAAAGGGCTGGTAGGATGTGGGGGGATGCAAGTTGAAGGGACAGAGATAGCAGAGGAAGATAGGACCAGGTTATGCAGGGATAGGACCAAAGGGGAAAATGGACAGATGAGATATGGTGGATAGGGACTGAGCAGAGGCAAAAGGGTCTGTACCTTCCACTGTACTTTGCAGTTACTGTATCTGGCTAATTGTGTATTTCCTCTCCTGCACGGCTGGTCCACACGTTGGGTAATCATTTACTATAACTGCAGATTGCCATGTTAACTCCCCTCCAGCTGCTGTCCAAGTATGGCTTGGTATGGTTCCAGATGATGAAATTCCTATACATGTTGTCAGTTTTGCTTTTTAAAGCAACAGAACAAATTACAACCACCCTTTATTTGCCTCCCTTGTGTACACGTATTATGAAGCACATCACAAGATTACAAGATCATAGACAGTTTTCCCCATAACCAGTGTGACGGGATCCCCAGGGAGCAGCCTGGGACGGTGGCACAGCAGTGGCCCCCTTAACTCTCTCCTGCTTGGGTTGTCTCTGCCAATGTCTTGCTGGTGACAAGCAGCAAATGCCTCTGGACACAGTGATCACTCAGCACAACTGCATGTGGAGCCCCACACCCAGCATAGAGCAGGGGTGGGCAAAAGGGCCTCTGCGGGCTGGATCTGGCCCTGCTGCTCCCCCGTCCCTATGCCTTAATTGGCCTGGGGGAGGGGAGTGTGCGAAGCTTCCTCCCGCCCAGCGAGGAGCATGTGGTACTTTGAAGTGCCGCGCGCTACTTGTGTGGGTGGGGGAAGCAGAGGTGGCTTTGCCAATCAGGGCCTGGGGGCGGGGGAACTGCGTGAAGCTTTCTTTGCCCTGCCCAGGCCCTGTCAAAATGCCTCATGCTCCTCCAAGGGTGGGAGGAGGCTTCCTGTGCTCCCCCTTCCCCAGGCCCTGATTGGCCTAGGGGTAGGGAAGCGTGCCAAGCCTCTTCCAGGGTATGGGTGCCTAGTGGGAAGGGGGGCAAAGGGGCTCCCTCACCCCCAGGCCAATCTCCCTCACCCCCAGGCCAATCACCCCCTCTCCCCGCCTAGGGTTGCCACGTGTCCGGTATTGACCTGGGCAGTCTGATATTTTCGCTTCCTGTCCAGTAAAAAAAAAAAAAATTCAGAAAATATCAGACACTTAAAATGCCCAGTATTTTCTGTGTTTTTTTCCTATGCCAGGAGGCGAAAATAACTCTTGGAGTCCTTTCCCTCCCCCCGCCCCAAGAATTTTTTCCCTGGTGGTTTTTTTTTAGGGGGGTGTTTGGTATTTTTGGTTAAACCATCTGGCAACCCTAGCCCCGCCCCTTCCTGTTTAGACCCCACCCCTTTTGGGGTGCCCTGGGGCTACTTCAAAATGTTTTGAAGTGGCCCCCAGGCAAAAATTATTGCCCACTCCTATCCTAGAACCACCCCTGAAGCACACAGAATAAGGCACCAGCCAAATCCTCCCTCCAGCTCCCAGAACTTGTCTCCAAATATGCCTTCTAATTTATTAATTGGTTTATCGCTTCATCAGTGGAAAGTGGCTAAACCCCAACCTTTGTGACACTGGAGCAAGCTCCCTTGCTAAGCATGTCAGGTGAGCTCGCTGGTAAAGATAACTGTTTATTGACTACCAAAGAGAGATATTAAGTACTAGGCCAAAAGTCAGTTAGTTGCCAAGACACAAAACAGGCCCCCAGTCTGAAGTCTCCGCCCTGTCAGACTAAGCAGCATCCCGTGAAGCAGTTTTTCTCACCCCCCCTGGATATTGCAGGTGACAGTATGCCTGGCATGTTGAATGATGTACGTGCATGCGGCCTTCAGCCCCAGGAGGCACATGCAAGACCTGGACATGGTCATTGGGAATGCACGCATGCCCAGGGTGGCAGCTTTGATCGCATCATGAAATAGGATCTGGGAAGGGAGGCTGTGGCCAACACCAAGTTCAGGTGGGTACTCTATACCCTGGGTGGGGACCAGGGTTGACTTGGCCATGTTCAGGAGCAACCCCAGCTCTTGAAAAAAGTCCTGCACTAGAGTGATGTGAGCAAGCAGCTGATCCGAAGAAGAAGCTTGGAGAAGCCAGTCATCCAGGTAGGGGAACACTAGACATCCCGCTTTCTCAGGGCAGTGGCCACAATGGCCATGTACTTTGTGAATACTCGAAGGGCTGTACAAAGGCCAAAAGAGAGGGCCATAAGCTGATAGTGGTCCTGGCCCACTATAAAGCAGAGGAACCATCTGTGATGCAGTGTGATAGTAATGTGGAAGTAGGCATCTTTTAGATCAAGGGTAGTGTACCAATCTTTGGGTATGTCTACACTACCCTCCTAGTTCGAACTAGGAGGGTAGTGTAGACATACCCTTGGAGTCTTCTGTCTCAGTGTCCTTGTTGCTCACAGCAAAGGTGCTGGCAGGAGAAAGGCAAAGCAGAAGCACAGGGCCACTGGCCTCCTTTATACCCTCAATCTGAGGTGCCTGGAGAATGCAAGTCCAGGTATGTCTGGGGGCATTGCTGAGCCCCAGGCAAGGTTGAGCAATTCCCCATGCAAGTCATTGCATTGTAGCTCCCTGGCTGAACAGTGGCTGTTGATAGTTGACAGCCGGCCTAAGCACTGGCTACTCTCCTTACTGTAGTCTGTGGGGGAGCTAAAATCTGGTTGATTGACCAGATTAACAGTATGTTTTAGTGACAACAGTATAGCACAACCTCCTAACTTCATATATACTGAAGAGACGCGCATGTAGATAGAACAATGACTTTCAGCAGATCATAAACTTTCCCAATCTGTTGGGCTACTTCTACACTGCGCATTCTTGCGCAAGAAGATATGCAAATGAGGCGCAGCAATGAATATTGCCGCACCTCATTTGCATACCTAATAAGCTACCATTTTTGAGCAAGGGGCTTTTGCGCAAGAAGGAGCTGTCTACACTGCTCCTTCTTGCGCAAAAACTCCCTCTTGCGCAGGAGCCCTTCTTCCTGAAAATAAGCGACAGAACAGCTCCTGCGCAAGAGGGGGTTTTTGAGCAAGAAGGAGCAGTGTAGACTACTCCTTGCGCAAAAGCCCCTTGCACAAAAATTGTGGCTAGTTAAGTATGCAAATGAAGCGTGGCGATATTCATTGCCATGCCTCATTTGCATATGTTCTTGCACAAGAAAGCACAGTGTAGATGTAGCCTTAGTCTTTAAGGTGTGTCAGGACTTCTCATGTTTTTCCATTTTATAAATATGACCTACATTCTTTGTTCTTTGGCTTGTGCCCAGATTACCAACTGATCTAGGTCTGGATCAGTGGCCTTTCTTCTTCATTATTTATCACTAACCCAATTTCTGAGTCATCCTCCGGATAAAATGGGAACTTGTAATTAAAGACTGTGTCATAATGCATATGCGCAGGTGAGCCAAATTTAGGTGCTCGGGGGTCACCTTAATTCTGGAATTTTCTACCTTTGGCGTGCTTGACTATGCAACATTAATTTTTAACATCTTTCTTTTGTATGTGATATATTACATCCAAGATTATGCCTTTTTTTGTTCTGGTATTGCACAAAGAGCTTGTGTTTAATTTACTGTCTATTGTGAAACCTCATTCTCCAGATCTTTCTCAGTCTTGCCACGCTCCTGTTTACAACTCTTGTTTTTTCTTTCCTCCTCAATGTCTGGGGTTACATTTACTAGTCATGTATTCCCTCTTGGCATATGAGAGCCACTGTTCTAATCTTTTCAGATGGTGATTTGGATCCTGGCTGAATTTACACCTTCATTTACATTGTCAATGGCAATACTAAAAATGGGCTTCAGTATTGGCTGCAGTTGAGAATGTAACCATTCATGTGGTTTGTTGTTGTTTTTGGTGGAGGTTAGAGGGGCGAGGGTAAGCAGGCCACCAGCTTCTAAGTCAAATAGTTTGTATCCTGCCCTTATCCTTAAATTAAAGTGATGTTTTTCCTGTCTCTCTTCCAAAGGCTTCAAGGAGACACTGTTAATCTCAGACAACAACTCTCAGGCACGGGGTCAGGAGATGGCCTTCACCAGTATATGAATTGCTCTGTACAAGAGATGCAGAGTAAACTGAAGGAAGCAGTGAGGAAGATCTCTATTCTGAGCCAGGAAAAGCAGCAACTCATTGAAATGGGAAACAGATTTCGAGCAGAACTTGGAGTAGTTTCAAAGGAAGGTAAATTCATTCTGCATAAAGCTCTTGCTGCTGTGGCAGGGATTTGAGACTGAGAGCCAGATTCTTATGTGAAAGTATGGGGAACAGGCAGATCCTGGAGACAGTGCATTTCTAATGAGAGAATTAGGTGCTGGAGTTGAGAGCACATTTGTCTCTGCTGCAGAAGGTGCTGGGCTAAAACGTGGCACAGTCTGGCAGTCAGTGACTGTTGCTTATGGAGATATTCAGCAAAGAACAACCTAGAGCTAAAGTATTAGTGTGGACTCTGCAGAAAGTTAAAAATTGTATCTGTATTTTTAAAGAGATTATTTGTCTTATGTTATAATTGTTAGTTTCTCTTGGAAGAGGAATAGTAAGCAGAATATCCTTATTATGGAATACAATTGAGGTGAAAAGTAGATGTCATATGAGAGAATTTCATTATAGAGATTTAAATTCTGCTAGGAAAAAGGATTGAAAAAAAATCACTACCTGGAAAAGACATTTCTAGGCCATTTTTTGTATCCCTATGCAGTGAGAAGTTGCCATGTTCTGTAACTCCTTTCTGGCTGCTGTAAGCACCTAGAGGAAGGGGGGATTTTCTTTTAGTTAAGAATGACAATATAGAAAGCTCCCTCTTCATAATTTATTTTCTCACCTTTTTAGGACTCCAGCATTACATTAGCTCTAAACAGTATCCAGTTCATACGGGCTGTTGTGCTCTCAGTCCTAAAGAGCTTGCAAACGAAGCACATCACCGACTCTCTGCTTTGGAGCATCTACAGTACCGGCTTACAACACAGGTAATGACACAGCCTCCAGAAACTAGGTTTTTGACCAGATTAATGAGATATTGTGCTGAGCCATAGTTTCAGTTCCTTATAACTTTCTCCAGCATCTTCTTGGACTGAAATTTCTCACGCTAGATCTCCTTTTACATCCACATCAGTTGCCTTCCTTTTTAACCAGGTTTTGAAATTGTTTTGTAAAAGGCTGGGTTTGACTGAATTAGAGTTAACTGAACCTAGAGAGAAGGAGAAATGGTTTTCACCTAAGAAACTTTTCAGATTCATTTCTATGTTACTGTATTAACATTTGAGTCTTAAATGAATAGTGTGCTTATCTTGAAGTAATTTAGATTTAAAATGATGGTTGTAGTCCATTTGAAAACACGTGCAATGTGTTGAAATGTACTTGGAATGACAAGTCAATGAGCACACCTCTGAATATTCAGACCAACAGATTTTTAAAGCGCTGTCACCCAAATAATTGTTATAACATGTCTATTTAAACATGCAAAAAGAGAGAAGTGGGG